TATAGGAATATTACTTGCTAAGGCCTCAATGTCTTTCACGGTACAACTCTCTTACCACTGTCTGAATTCCACGAGAACGGTTTTATGCGCGAAAAAAAACAAAAAACAGTCCGATTAATTGACATGTCGAGAATCGTAGTCGTGAAATTTTTAAATGCATTCACTAATCTCTAGGACACATACTTTGTAAAAAAACACAAAAAATATTCAGTTGTCATTGATCAATACAAAGAATTACAATAACGCCTAATAATACTGGGAACTGTAGTACCAGTTGAAGTAAGCGCGAGATGCACCAAATGAATTGGGCAACAAAGTGGTTAATATTACCTGAACCCAATCTTGGTAGACCCAAGCCTTGTCGAAGCTGCACAGTTCACCTGGAGCTTGTCGCCAGTGAGAATGGAAAACGTCAGGAAACTCGGCAGACATGATGTTAAAGGAGCTAAACGTTCAGATGTTGCTTGTGTTAACACCGCAGATTGTTGGGCAACTCACTTGTGATATTAATCTTCTCTGCTTATTACATGGATGGCATGAATATAATGACACTACTCGGTTCAGATACCCACTGACTTCTTTGCGTCTAAATCATTGCTTGATTGATGTTATCTTTTATATTCACTTGCCAATGGTAGCTGATGGGTTGTATAAAAAAAAAAAAATCTGGAAAAGAAATAGCGTTAGTAAATTCAAAAAGATAACAGCAGAGTTCCAAAAAGTGACTTTACTTTGGCTAGGGGATAAAATTGCAGGGGCCGCAATATAGGCAGGCCATAAATATGGCCAATTGTCTGAACGAGGTTTCTGGGACCTCTCCACGGCGATCCTCATCCACATGGTGGCACTTTGTGTCATCGGGTGTTTATCGCTTGTGTGATGTCCTAGAAAGTCAGTCAGTCAGTCAGTAGCATAACTAATGAAACGGAACAAACATCGATAACATTTAAGGTTTTTAGTGCGTGCGAACGTGAATAGGAATTTCATATTTATGTGCTTCCCTTTCAAAAATGTGTCCTGTTATTGTTTAAATTTTTGTTTACAATTTTAGGAATGCAAACAATGCATATTTTTTAATGTACATATACAAGAACATACACCATACTGCCCCTAGACACGCCACACGAAGGAAACATACGTTACCTGAGACAAAGCTTTACAAAATTGTTTAAAAAAAGAGGAACATGGATTTGATAAGCATATTATTAAACTCGAAAGTACACCTGGGCCTTTAACCTCCCAAGAAAAGGGCAGTCTTTTGTCTCAGCTCTCAAGACTAGCTGTAGACAATTCTGAAAGTTCTTCAAATCTTGACACCCACATCTCCAGAGAAGAAATCCTAGAAATAAAACTGACTACAAGCTCTGGTTCCTCAAATTAGAAGGACCTCATTAAAGTCCTGGACGATGGCAACCAGAAAACTCGCAAGCATTCATTGAATACTTGTAACTCAAGGACAGATTTTATGCTGAAAGTGGACCTGCCAGGAGTGGAGTCTGTGTCCGAATGTCAACTGGATAGTTCAGAGGATGACGTGTGTCTGCAGGTTCCTGGCAAGTATGATCTGAAAGTTAAACTTCCAAGTCCCATTCATGTTGATGTGGCTCGTGCCAGATTTAACAACACGTTATCGAGGTGTGACATCCGCCACAAGTGCGGAAGGTAATGGGTTCAAACCCCGGTGAAGGCTGGGATTTTTTTCATGTGGACTTCTAGTAATTTCCCTTGGTCTCTGGATAGTAAGATCAGACGCCCGTGTGTACTGTTGCGTACGTAAAAAAATAATCCCTTGGAAGTTGGAAATCGAAGAAGAGTAATCTAACGGCGCTGCCCGGGCAAAATTTAGAGTTAAAAATCTACCCAAAGTATTTCAGGATCCTCGCCGGTGCAACGGAGTTCATGCACTGCGCTAAGATTCTTCAGATGCGTGTTTGAGTTAGAAGTAGAACGGAGCACTAACGGGTTGCCCCTGTGCCATGATATTGATCCGTTGAATAAACATAAACTGGAATATATATACCAGGATGCTAAGCCCAGAAACGAAAATATTAGTAATATCAACTAATTATACTCTTTGCTGATTACCAGGTCCTGAAAGCAGACTCAGCCATGTAATTGCAACGGCGTCTAACAGCTATGCTTGAAGAATGTAAAACTAATAATACAACAATCAACAATGAAAATACAGAAGTACTGTCGATAGGAAGAAACAAAGCAGAAACTAAATATAGCAGGGGACTGCAAGGGCATCTGAGTTTACTTCTTCTTTTGCGCTCATCCCAAGATGTAATTGCATTGTGTCCGTTTACAGCATGGCTGCGATATCTGCGCCTTTCGGCCAACACATCTGACTTCTGCGGGCATTTGTTGACCGGATTAGCCTTCCCGGGTATCTTCTAATATGTGGGTTAAACATTCGCTGAAAATCGGAAATTGGATGAAGAAATTAACATTTTCTTCTTCTTTACGTCCTCTTTTACCGCTTCGACCGTCGAGTGAT